TAGGTAAATTTAGTGATTTTGGGTAATTTACTAACGATTAAATAATGAACATAAGGCAAACTCTGTAGGAAAATTTGATCAATCAATGAGACCTTGCCTATAACAACAACTATGCTTGATTTCTGAATATTAAGTTAAGGTCGACTATATGAATCTATATTAAGCAACTATTTTAATTAGGGCAAATATTACTTTTAATTCGCAACCGAAACTATTTAGTAGCCGCAAAAGTGTATATAAAATTTATATATTTTTTATATATAACATACAGAAATATATATATATAATATATATATTTCGACTATTAGTTTTAGAACGGTTATATAATGTCATTTCCCTTTTCAATTAAACCATCTTAGGCAAATTACGATACTATGTGTTTTGACTTTTGAGGATTCATCATATATCGAGTAATTTTATTATATACGTCAATCTACTGCAATCATTTTTCTTTATCTGAACTTGAAATCGGAATCTTGACATTGTCTAGCAGATAAAAGAAAAAATACAGTCGGATTTCGTTATAAAAATATCAATATATGACAATCATTCACTAAAAAAGTTAATTTTTTTATGGAATCGATTTTATTTTATGTTATAAAATATGTTCCCTATAATCATCTAATATTTTGCTATAACAACAAAAAAAAATTTGTTATAAAGGAGACGGTTATAAAAAGGTTTGATTGTATTTTGTCGTTCTATTGGTGGTCCCTCTCTCATTTATTGGATCAAAAATCTCAACAACAAATTCCATCACTGCAAAGTCTTGGTTAGGTTGTTGGAAAATTTAACAACTGCTATACATACAGATATAGATAGGACATAGTCCTTAGTCCTTTTTCTCTTCGCTGTAGCAACTCAGCCATCACCTCAATTTTGTACTATCAATATGATTTTTTGATGACAATTATCACTTTTTTAACACATTATCCAAGAACAAGGACTTTTCTATGAGATGGGTTAAAGGTTTTGTTCAGATATTCAGAAGCTCTTTTAGTATTATTTTGGATTTATTTGTGTATATGCATATTCTGAGTCTAATAAAAGATGGTTTTTTTTGTTTAAATGTATGGATTTGAGGACAGAGTTTTAAAAAGAAAGTAAGTACTTATATGTTTAATAATATAACTGCACAAGAAGTTTAACTTTATGTTAGTGGGAATATGGCAGGATTTGTAACAATTGGGAATTTAGTTTGGTTTTCTATTATGGAAAGTTTTAAGTGCCTTGTAACAAAAGTACAAATGAGTATCTAAAAAATATATTAATTAGTTGTCAGGGTAACATATGCTGGTTTTTGACCAGTCCTATTATTTATTTATTTATTTATTTATTTTTAAACCTTGGTTGCTAAATGGGGGGAGACTTAGGACCAGTAAAAAGTAACATCTCGGGGACTTGACGAATGTCCATCTCCATGGTGATGTTTGTGAATTTAAAATTTAGTTCCTTCGGGAACATTCGATAAAAAAAATTATTTAAAATTTGAATTCCGTTGAATTATTGTGTGTTTAATTAGTAATTTTTACGTACAATAATAATTATGTCTTAATCCCAAACAAATTGAGGTAGATTATATGGATCTTCACTTTTTTCTTTAGATTGATGATTGATACATAATATTAAACGAGATCAAATACATAATTTATATCAACGTTACTAGATTCGGTCGAATTTATAATTGACACCGGTAACAAGAACTTCACTCTTCTACGGCTTATTAGGACCAGTACAAAGTAACATCTTGAGACTTGAATGCCCATCTCAATCGCAAGAACAATTGTACTCTCTTCTTGTCCTTCAACTACCCTATTTCTTTCTTTTTTTCCTCCGGAGAAAGTAGCGGTTGGTATGTTGCGGGAGAACTCATATGAAAAAGTAAAAATTTATATAACCAAATTCAATTTATTTGGGACTAAAATGTAATTGTTATTTATATGTGGCGAGAGAGGGGAAGAAGGAGAAAGGAAACATAAAAACATATCCAAACATGGTGCATGCACCAAGTCATGCTAAGTTTATGTTAGTTAAGTTATAAATTGTGATCAAAGTGCATTGTTAAGTAACCAATAAAGTGGTAAAATCATATATCACATATTTATTATTTTGGTCTAAACTGGTGTATTCAACGAGCTATTATAATTTTTTAATCAATCCCCTTCAAGATTGATTTATGAGACATGAGAGAGGGCCAAAATACTTTAATCTCTTATGTTTTGCAAATGCGAAATGAGATTCTCTCTTGACGAGAATGAAACATCTCTCATATAAAAGGTAAAATTTAGGAGGTGGTAATTTGAGCTCAACCCCATTTAATCCGCCCAACCCGTTCAAGGTTGGCTCGTCATTAACTTGCCAATTTGTTAAATTTAGCCCATCTTGATGTGACGACCCGATAGGTCATTTATATTTTTAACCTTAAATTTTATATTTGAAAATCTCGATTATCTACGTTTAACCTTACTCGATTTACGTGCGCGGACCGTATCCTTTTTCCAGAAGGGTTTTATGTGAAAAATTGACGAAAATGTGAAATTGTGCCTTAAAACTCATTTGAGTTGATTTCGGTCAACATTTTGAGCAAACGAATCCGGATTAGTGTTTTGACAGTCCCGGTGGGTCCGTATTGTAATTTAGGACATGAGCGTATGCCCGAAAACGAATTCAAAAGTCCCTAACTCGAATTATCGCAATTTATTGAAAACTAGAGGTTAAAAGTTTAAAGAATTAATAAGTTTGATCGAAGTTTGACTTGTTGCTACCGGGTTTGAATTTTTTGTTCTGAAACTTGGTATACGTTCATTACTGTATTTATGACTTGTCTAAAAAATTTGGCACAAAACGAAGTTGATTTGACGTGATTCGGACGTCCAGTTGTCAAGATGAAAATTCTTAAGTTCTTTGGAAAATTAATTCGCTTTGGTATTCAATTAGTAGTTCTAGGTGTTATTTTGGTGTTTTGATCGTGCGAGCGAGATCGTATGATATTTTTGGACTTGCGTGCATGTTTGGTTTGGTGCCCCAAGGGCTCGGGTGAGTTTCAGATTGGTTTCGGAGTGGTTTGGACTTAGGAAAAATAGCTGGTGAAAATCTGATTCTGGTGCAGTCTTTGATCTCGCAATTGCGAGGTCAATGTTCGCATTTGCGAAATTTCAAATCTCTGTGAGGTTTGCATTTGCGAACCACTTCCTCGCATTTGGGAAGAATGACTAGGTCAGCAAGGGATCGCATTTGGTATCAAAAAGTCGCATTTGCGGAGGGCCAAAGTTCGCATTTGCGAACAAATCATCGCAAATGCGATGATAGCAGAGATGGAGCTCCTTCACATTTGCGAAGTATGTCTCGCATCTGCGGGGTTCGGAATTGCGAACTCTAGGTCGCAATTACGACATATGTGCATGGTAAAAAGCTGAGATAGACGGGATTTTAGCTCATTCTCTCAAATTCTCAACCCTAAACACCCTAAAGGCGATTTTTCCAAGAGATTTTCTTTCTCAATTCGTTGGTACGTGACTCTAACCTGCTTTTTTTTTAATTACCCACAACATTTCATAAGATTTCAACCTTAAATCTAAGATTTTCATGTTTGAAATTGGGGATTTGGGTAGAATTAGGAATTTTTGTAAAATTAGAATTTAGACCTCGAATTAAGGTCGGATTTCGAAACAAATCGCATAATCGGGCTCGAGGGTGAATGGGTGATCGGGTTTTGGTCCGAACCTCGGGTTTTGACCAAGCGCGCCCGAGGTTGACTTTTTCAATAATGATCTAAATTGAACCTCTTTCATTAGTGAGTAGTTTCTAAAGCTTAATTTGAATCGTTTGGTTTGGAGGCTTGTTCGAAAGGCAAGGCCGTGATTAAATTTTGAGTGGATTGCGGGGCGAGGTAAGTATTGGGTTTAACCTTGATTTGAGAAAATTAAGAACCTTTGAGCTACGTGTTATGTGAATTTCATGTGTAGTGGCGTATATGCGAGGTGGCGAGTGTATATACGCCGCCAAAATACTCGTTCCATGTTTTCTGTATTTCATTAAAATTTTCATTCCATGTCTTAATTGTTACATGCTTTAAATGCTTCCCGTGCCTTTACTTGTTACTTGTCAATTATTATTCTAGTGTTAAAAATGTTAGATTCTCCCATGCTTTCATGATTGACTGTTACTTGCCTTAATTGACTTGCGCCCTTTAATTGTCATTTACTTGACTTGTCTTGCTGCTTAATATTAATTATAGTGAATTCCCAATTTGGCACGAGACTTCCTTTCTCGTTCTACTCCATATTCGTTAATCGTAGAGATTCTTGTGATTTAAGTTGTTAAATTGCTTGCATTTATTGATTTATTTATATTAATATGGTGGGATCGTATTGCGCACCGCAACATGTGAAATAAGGGTGGGTTGATATGGTAAAATAAGAGTGAATTTATATCACTACAAAAAAAACAGCGTTTAGCGACGGAATTTTGCGACAAGAGATATTCCATAGCTAAATAACGATGGATTAGCGACGAAATTTGTAGTTTGTCGCCAAATAAGCTACAAGATAATTCGTATCAAATATAGCGGCGGATTAGCGATAAAAATTTATATTTGTCGCTAAAATTGGCGCTAAATATTAGCGCCTTTATTTTACCTATAAAATTAGCGACGAAAGTTGGGCGACAAAAATTATTAAAACTTAGCGACGAATTTAACGTCAAAAAATCCGTCGCAAAATTCATTTTACTTATCAAGGCATTCGAAAGTTATCTGCGACAAAATATTATGTCGCTAATTTCCTAAAATAAAATTTTATTAATTATTATTAGCGACATAATTTCGGTCCGTCACTATTCCGTTTCTAAATTTCCGTCCCAAAAATGAAATTACCCTAGGTAAAAGACATTCCAACCATTAGGGCACAAACACCCTAATTTCTTCCGTCTTTTCTTGCTCTTTCTTCTCTTCCTCTTCTTCGAAGGCAGAAATGCTTGGTCCTTAATATTTTTCAGTCACGGTCCTCAACAAACGCTGAGGACCGTTTTTTTTATCTAGTGGCGGGCTGTTTTTTCATTTTTTTCAAAGGGGTTTTGTTTTCAGAGGTATGGGCTTGTTTTCTTCTGATCTTTGACAAATTAAGTGTTCACATTAAGTGTCAAATCTTTGACAATTTCGTTACTTTTCTTGTGTTAAAAAGTGATTTTTTATACCTATCTTACCGTGGTAGGAAGTTATTACTTACATATCTGAAAAATAGAAGAAAACTTTTGAAATTGCAATTTTTTTGCTGCGGAAATCTGAAATTCGAAGTCGTGTGTTTGTAGAATTCTGAAATTTGGAGTCGTGCGTTGATTTTAGGGATTGTATGTCCTTGATAAGGTAAGCTTCTTTGTTATTTCATCCTGTCTTGTGCTTTATTTTGGTGTTTTCTTTTCAAAGTTTCTCCATCTTTATTCTAGATTTTCTCTATTCTTTGTTATTATTTTTTCCCCTTAGAACACTATTTTTCTTATTAAAGAGAACTGTTGGTAATTTTATTTGCTTTCAATGAGCTTAAAATTCTGCAGAAATAGCCATGTCTGCCTGTAATTTTGTGCGTTGGAAAAATTTGTTGCGTTGGAAAAATTTTGTGCACCAATGTCAAGTACATGGGTTTTTTCTTATGTATTCTTGAGTGTTAATGGTCCAATTAATGGTCTTTTTAGTCCATAACTCTCAATATTTTCAAGAATAAATCATGTTAGAATTAGTAGAATTTTGTCAACTAGCCAAAGTGTTAATTGATTATTTCCATGATTGTTCCAAGCTCAAAATTTATGAACTAGAGGTTCACAGTTCTTCTCTAATTTTTGGACCATGTTCTCTAGAATGTTTAAGCTTCTCTGGATTGTTAGTGCTTCGTTTGGTCTACATTGCCATCTCACTAGGATGTAGGACCTCACAATCTTCTCCCATGTAGCAATGATATCTGCAAATCTGTAGTGCTGGATGCGTAAGTTCACTGCAAACTTTATAAAGAACAAGATCATTTTTTTAATTTGAGATAGTTAAGAAGGATAAAATTTCTAACTTGATTGTCTTGCCCATATGAGACCAACTATTGTTAGATTTCCCTCCCCAAAATGTATTCCCCTTTCCTAGGAGAACTGCTTTTGAGCTCCTCTGACTTTGACCTTGGTGTTTGTTATTGTTAGAAAAAATTGGGATGGAATTATTAGTAGGATGCATAGGACTTTCTGAAGTGGGATTACTGTAGTCATGGCGAGTTATATTTATGTAACCGTTTTTTAAATAGAAATCCTATACTCTTCCTCTTTATACATTCTGAAATCTGCTTCTGCCCATATATAAGTTTCAGGCAAATGTTTCACACTTGTTTAGCTTCATGTGCTAGGCTACCCTTTATAGTAAGTATGCAACATTGGAACTTATTATTTTTATAAGTCTATGGGATGCAATGCTAGGTGAATATATTGTTCAGTCTTCATATAATCTTTATCTTTTTGAATATGTTGTTCTCTGGATTTGTATTCTCTGAAATGATCATTAAGGTTCCCTTTATTGAGGTTCAAAGGTAATACTTACTAGCCTTTTTCTTTCAGCAGTATACTGATGGTATACTGTATTGTTATTTTTGAATCTTTACCTTTTTGAATATGTTGTTCTACTGGAATGTGCTTGAGGCAATCTAGTTTGAACTCTCCTTGAGCCACATCTACTTCATCTTCTGAATCTAGCTGTAGAATTGAACTAATAAATCAGAATACTACTCTAATTAGTCACAATCTGATTATGATGAATCAGAATCTAGCTCTGTAGACTAGCATGAGCTGTGCGTTTTAAAGGGGTTGATTTTCTTAGTGTTTTAACAGTATGCATATCAGTTTTGAGCATTTGCTTTTGTTGCTCTATCTTCTTAATTGAATAACTTTTGTATAGGCTGTTAAAAAGGGTCGAGATCCACACCAAGTGAGTTGCATTTGCACGTCCATACACATGGTAATGATAGAAAATTTTTTATTTTTGAGAAATCCCGAATCGTACATGTAAGATAACTTTTTGAATAATTTTATTGCCTTTACTTTCATATATTTTTTTCATTTTATAAATTGAATGCTCAATATTATTTAGTCTTTTTATTTCACTAATTATTAACTCTTCTACAGAAAAAATATTAGGAGATATTATAACAACAAACATAAACTCAATCTGATATTGATCAGTGTAAAACATATTATCAAGCCGCGGGAGGAGAAAAGAAAAGAAGAGTATATGGTCTTGGATCTCAAGCAAAATGCTACTACGAGCCAAATCTTCATGGCTCTTTTGGATCTGATGCTACATCATCAGCAATACCTCCAAATTCTCAATCAACACCGACAGGGAATCTGGATGAGTTAGTGATGCTTTTGATTCCTGCATTGACAGATCATATAGTTCCAGTAATCATTGAGCGGGTACGCGAATTAGTTTCCTTACCCTCACATCAGCCAAATACTGATCTTACCAACCACCCATTAGATGTGGCACCTACAGTTCCTACATCTTCTACTGCTGCTAACATTGATGAGGTTCATGCATTGGGTTCTGATGATGACCGTAACTCTCCAGCCTCACATACTTAGCCTACTTTGTTTGGACTTTATTGTTGGTCCTTATGAATTTTTTGTACTTAACGATACTATTATATGCATTATGCTATATATTTTGGACCTTGTTGAATATATTGTTAATTTATATTAATATTAGTGACTTTTTATTAAGTGTATTTAATAGCTTTTATGTAATATGCTTGAACATAGTACATTTAAAATAATAAATAAAAAGAATTTTAAAAAATCAGCAATATATTAAAATAAATTAGCGACAGATACTTTCCGTAACTAAAATCATCGCGTAAAATTAAATCTTGCGACGAATTGGGGACAAAAGATTTTTGTTACAAAAAGCAGGGAGAATTAGCTATAGCACGTCTAGCGATGGACGATTTCATCACTATAAGAACAAACGACGAATTTTGTTATGTATTGCAGCGACGAAAGGCGTCAAAATAGCGACAAAAACAAACAATATAGCGACGGTTATTTCCCTCGCTAATTTTTGCTACAGATATATGTCGTCGCTAATCCGTCGCTAATTCTGCGACGGTTGGTATTTTTCGTCGCTATAAGCCTAGCTACGAGCATTTTAGGGACAAACTTGAATCCGTCGCTAAATAACTGTAGAGATGAAAAATATTGATTTAGCGACGGAAAGCGGCCGTCGCTAAATGCTTTTTTTTTCGGTAGTGTATTGATATGGTGGGATCGGGTTGCACGTCGCAACAGGTGAAATAAGGGTGATTACGATTTTGATTCTAACTATATGGTGGGATCAGATTGCNTATTGTAATATATATATATATATATATATATATATATATATATATATATATATATATATAGTGGAATAAAGGAGGATAGTATTGTACGGTGGGATCGGGTTGCGCGCCGCAACAGTTTATGTGTTTCTATTCCTTATTGTTTTGTGTTGGCTTTGGTACTTTCATATGAGAATCTAACGATTTGTATTTCTGGCATTTACTGGTTTTCTTCGAAGATTGAGTTATTTTCATGAGTTAACTGCTTTATTTTGTTTCCGTATTTTCCGTTTCTGTCATTATTTTATATTGCGTACAAGTTATATTGTAAGTGACCCGTCTTAGCCTCGTCACTAATTCGCCGAGGTTAGCCTCGACACTTACAGAGTACATGAGGTCGGTTGTACTCATACTACACTCTACACTTCTTGTGCAAATTTTGAAGTCGGTCCCAGCGGCGGTTAGTAGATTGCTCGGGTTGACTGTTAGTGTGGAGTCTTGAGGTACATTTGCTCGGCGCTCGTTGCCCTGAAGTCCCCTTCTCCTTTATCTTAGCTGTGTATTTTTCTTTTAGACAACTTTACTTTTATTCATACCTTTATCTGTAGTATTCTAGTAGCTCGTGCACTTGTGACACCAGATCCGGGGTTGTATTAGATATTTCAGTTATGTTTTTTCGTACTTTACTTCAGAATTTATTTCAATTATTTCGGTTTATTTATTATTATTTAATTTGAACTATTAAAAATGGATAAACTATACTAACGTTAGCTTGCCTAACAAGTGAAATATTATGCGCCATCACGGTCCCGAGGGTGGAATTTTCGGGTCGTGACACTTGACCCAGCCTATCTCAGCCTATTTAAAGTTAGGCTTATTTTTAGCCCATGATCCATGGGTGACTTTGCTAAAATATCTTAAAGATAATTTTTTGGTTTGATATGTTATATATGGCTGTAACAAAAGAAAAAAAAAAGTCTTATTTGATACTTAAATAATTCATAAGAAAATAACACACATTAATTAAAACTTAAAAAAAAAAAGTTGGGCGAGTTGGGCTATGACCCAAATTTTAGATAAAAATAGTACGTGCTAGTCAGTTTTTGGACTGATAATTCAAAATAGCCACCGTTTGCAAAGTCATTGAAAAATAGTCACTATTTTGCTGCAACACGGACCGGTCCAGCATAATATACTGGAGATTGGTACACCTATGTATGAACTTCCAGCATATTATGCTGGAACTCTAACACGCTGAAAATTCCAACATAATATACTGGAGATTGGAGCACCTGTGTATAAACTTCCAGCATATTATGCTGGAGTTCCATTTTAAACAGTGTTTTCGTTCAGATTTATCTTTACATGAAAAGTGGCTAAATTTCGATTTGTTTTGAAACTGTGACTATTTTTCAATTACCACTTGTAAATCTGGCTATTTTTGAATTTCTCCCAAATTTTAGCCCATTTTGAACAAGTCCAAGTAACTTTTGAATGGGTCAATGACCTGTCCATCTATTATCTCGCCCAAAATCAGTTCAACCAATGAAATTGAATATCATGGTTTTGAACCGAACAAAACTTTTAAGGGCTTAAAATAACCGTAAACCTAAATGGTGGTAATATATTTTTAACTGAAGAAGTGAGAATTGTTTACCACGAAGAGAGAGTGGTAGTCTACAATGCACTTGCTAGTGGTAACACACTCATATTTTATATTTTAATTTTTTAATCAGTACATACTACTCTTTACTTTGATCTTTTATGAAGCATAGTAGAATTAGGTGGGAAGAACAATATCTAAAGGTGGCTTTATTATTTGAATTTTTCTTCTGTAACTGAGATATTGACAATGAATGCTTCCAACAATGCACAATTAAAACAAGAACATGCTCTTTTCACTTACTCAAAGGGCAATCAGTGACCAAAAGGACCACAAACAGCCGCGCGATATTAAACATAGAGCTGAGATTCACCTACAAGAATCCAAACTCAAAAATCATCTGCAAACACTAGATATCATAATCTGCAAAATGATAAAGATACTTGACAAAATATAAATAAACTCAGGCATGTTATATAGCAGGATAATTTATCTGCTACATTTCCTTTGTTGTCACCAGTATCTTAAATGTACCTCATACATACTTCAATCAATTATGCATAATTTATTATAATATACGTCGATGTAACACTCGTATTAACGAAATCTACTGAATGGAGAAAGTGGTGGATTTCTTAGGTGTAGAATGAACTTCAAATGGTTCAGAGGGCCGAATTTCTTCAATCAGAAGAAAAATGACATTGTTTGTTTTGAAGCAGCATTTAAACTGCCAAATAATGATTCACAACAAAGTATTTATAGCTTGTTCTATCAACACAAATTCACTCCAATTTGGTGGCATACTATGCGACGCACTGGCGGAGCCACCTTATGTTATGGGGGTGTCAATTGACATTCCTTCGCCGGAAAACTTCATTATTTAACAAGGTCAAAAATTTATTTTTATGTATATATACTATATATTGACTCTTCTTATTTTCTCAATTTGTTTTACTTTTTTTATATTTTGACACTACTTAATAAAAAATTTGGCTGCACCAGCGCCTTCGTCCTGCATATGTCTTAGAAAGACCTTCACCGCAATATGTGCATCGTGGCACTTTTTCTAGATTAATTGAAACACACATTCTTCGAAAATTATATTTGAATTTGTTACTTAGAAAAAAAATATTTTTGATTTTGTTACTTATAAAAATATTATATTTGAATTTCTAGTCACACTATCTGTTGTGACATGTCAAACGTTCAGCTTGCTGTGAAAGAGAAATGGTAATCTTAAGCAACGGTAACCATTCTCTTGTACTTTCAATTGGTATCATAGTAGGTCTCACATATTTACTCTTTTGCTTAACAACTAGTGAGAATAGATCATGTCAAACTAAGCAACTGTTGGGACACTATTTCAAGAAAGGACATCTTACGTAAGGGCGCCATATTTCAATGGACAATACTTCTCTTATTGGAAAGTTCGCATGGAAATATATGCGAAGTTCTATGACGTCAAAGTGTGACATGTTATCAAAAATGGAAACTACCCACTTCCAACAGCAAAATCTGACAAGAAGGCTGAAGGACAATCATCCACTGATCTAGAAGATATAAATGACTACTCTAATGAGCAAACAACAGTTATTCAAGGTAATGCCAAGGCACAAAATTTGTTATATAATGCCATAAGTGGAGAAGAATATGAGAAAATTTTAAGCTGGACACAACCAAGAAAATGTGGGACAATCTGGAAGTTACCTATGAAGGAACAAGCAAAGTAAAAGAAACAAGGATAAATCTATTGGTTCATGACTTTGAACTCTTTCAGATGAAAGAGGGTGAATCTATTGAGGAAATATTTGCACGATTCAACAAAATCATTGGGAATCTAAAAGCTTTTAGTAGACCATACTCCAGTGGTGAACAAGTTCGAAAAATCCTAAGAAGTCTGCCTACTACATGGCAAACAAAAATAGTTGCACTTGAATCTCACGACCTGGACAAACTATCATATGATGAATTGTGTGTAGACCTTATAGCTTTTGAGAAAACACATCTAAAAAAATGTGGTTAGGAAGAAAAGAAGAAAAATGTTGCTTTCAAAGCCACAACTGAAAGATCTAAGAATGACAATGATGATGACGCAGAGACACTTGAAGAAGAAATTGCCATGATCTCGAGAAATACGTGGATTGATGAGAAGATATAGAAACACAAAAAGGGGAAGAATGTCATCCATAAGAACCAGACAATACAATGAACAAGACAAAAATAATAAAAAATATTTTGAATATGGAAGGTATGACCATGTTCAAGCTGAATGCCCGGATCTCAAAAGAAAAGTCTCTAGAGGTTTCAATTAAAATAAATCCTCCGGAAGCTGGAGCGATGAAGACAACTCAGGACATGAATAAATAGAAAATTTGTGTTTCATGACTATTTTGGAAAATGAAACGAACAAATACTCTGGTTGCTGGACTGATGAAGATATATCATACGATGACAGTAAGGAAGAAATTGAAAGTTGCGTCATGACACGAGGTGAAACAAGTGAGGTAAGATCCTATAACTCTGATAGATGTAATGAATTGTAGGATATTCTTGATCTTACCCTAAAAGAGTCTCAAAAGAATGCTAAATGAATTATAGAGACTCAATAGGGAAAAGAAAGACTGGGAACTCAAAGTTGCAGTCTGTAAAATCGAAAGAGATATTTTTATACTGCGAACCAATATAAAAATCCGGGATGTCATTTAATTTATGCACTTTTCATTCTATCTTTAATTTCATCTTGCCTCTATTTTCGATCGACTACTTGATAAACTAGTCAACTACTCAATTATAAAAAGGAAAAACGACAATTCTCACCCTCCTCGTGTACTTTCAATTACAACATGCAACTATTTGTCATTTGGTGGATGTTTTTTCACATTTCTTAAGAAGAGCTCATGCGCATAACAGATATTGCAAGTAATAACGAGGATATATTCTATTGCAACATAGAAACACAAATAAATAGAATATTATGTGCGTGAAAATGTGTTTTGTACTTCATAACCTACTACATTTTATCTTAAAGCTTAAAAAAGAAGAAGAGATGCCGTAGATTCAAGTCTCATCGCTCCCCTTTATCTTTCACATACTAAACCCATGTAAAGAAATCATATATACTCACATATGAGAAGGGGCGTAAGCACCTTATCTCAAGCTGTGTCACATTACACCGTTTCGTCAATTTTTTTTTTTTTTATATATATATATATATAGATAATAAGAAAAATAAAAATATTGGGTATAAACCGCCATTACTTGCCTTAAAAAATTGTCACAAGTTAAAATTTTAAATTATGGCGGTCGTCATAGCGGTTTTAAAATACCGTCGCAAAATAGTTCATGGCAAATATAACTGTGGCATTTTTAAAACCGTCACAATTCATTTTGTGGGAGTCAAAAATTGCCACAAATTTACAAAAAAAAAAAAAAAAAAAAAAAAAAATCACAAAATAAGCAATTTCTTGTAATGTATATGTTGATCCCAATTACAAAATTTTTTGCGTACGCCGGTGCACGCGAGATGTGTTGATATACTTTCAAAAACTTATGTTGTTACATTAAGTGGTCACACACAATTCAAAGATGCTATTTTGCTACTTCTTTGGTAGATGTTACCAGAATATAGCAGAACTAGATGATTCATATAGCCAACATAACTAGTTTAGAGTTGAGAGGGCATAGTTGATTGATTTTTGCTTTTAATCAAAAAATTACTAGAAGTGTTACCGTCAACATTTTGAATAGTCATGAACTTATTCCACTAAGCTAGTGTCCTAGCAAACATCTCAGCTCGGCTCAACTAATTCATAGCCCTTGGTATATGCAACATCTTATATATTTCAAACCATATATATGATCTCAAACATATTTTGTCACATTAAAGGGCGGGAATTTTCTAATCCAATTGGGCCTATAAATTCTATTCTTTCGTCTCTAGCTTGATTGTCTGAAAAATCAAACATCTCCTTCACATTTAACTTGTAGACATTCTTCCTCATCTTTAACATTTTCCACCAATTGTCAAAATATTATCTTATAGTTATTAGATAAAATAGAGTGTAAATTGTCGTGTTTACTTGTGAACAACCCATAATCAACAAAGAAAACGCCGAAAATAAAAAATATTTGAGATTTAATTCATACTATTAAATTATTTCAATACACCCAAGCACTGTTTCAAGGTTGCTATCATCTGCAAAGATAAATAAAGGTATAATCAAGTTTTGTTCTATTAAACTATTTCAAATTTGGTTCATGTAATTAATTAGCAAGTCAAAGTCTAAAACAAGCAAATGATTCTTCCTATATTATACTCTATTTTTTGCTCACATTATCCATAAGAAAATGCATTGGAAGCGGACCTAGAATTTTAACGCGATAGGAGTACTATAGTGTCTTCTTTTTTGGGACTTTATACAAATAGCCGGTCATATCCACTGTTTACTTTTTTTAGACATAACATAGATTATAAATTTATTATACATAATTACACATATATAATACATAAATTATGTATACATTATACCTCCACCGGCTATTTTTAGTTTAAGTTGTTAGGTGGGCGGATATTTGGGTTAATTCTTCTAAATATATTTTCTAGGAAATTTGAGCAAACTGCTCAACCACTACTTCTTAAAGACTTTTAGTGTTCAAGGTGCCAAGTTATTAATACAATTATTTTCAAGATATTCACACATATATACTGTTAGAAAAATAATGGGATGAAATAATCTGGCTTCGGTGGTGTAATCACTGTCCTTAAGTAATTTAAGCTTCTCACTTTGTTATTGTAGGGATAATAGCAGAATTCCTCTAGAATTTTACAAAGCCTCTGAAATTCGAGTTTCAACCGTTAACTCGAATTTTCCACAAGAATAGAATATATGTGAGTTGTAGAAAATAAGTAGAAGAGAAAGAGATGGAAATTTTCAGATGATTTCGTTTTGTAGATAATATGAGTATTTATAATACCTCTAGGAGTCTGTTGGAATAAACATACTCATCTTTTCATAACATGCACCTTTAAAAACCAATAGTCACCTTTTTAAATTTAAAAAAGAAAGCTGTTAAAAAACGTTTTCTAAATTTAATTTAAAATGTTTTCAATTAATTAATAAATAATAGGTGACTAAAATATTAAGGGGAAAGTGCACATTTAGCTAGTTATAAGACATGTATTTATTTTTAAGCAACTGTTTAAAATATCTTTAGTCTTTAGCCACTGTTTTAATAAACTTTTATCCGTCCGAACGAAAATACCCTTCTGCTCATAAAGTTCAGGACCAAGTGTCCTTAACTTATGAGCTTGTTACTGTAAGTTTAGGACTAGCTATCCTTAATTTATGAATTTGTAAGTCTAAGTTAAGGATTACCCCGTGTTTTGATCTTAATTCCCCCTTTAATTATCTTTGCGTATTTTCTACCTGAAAATTTCTTTTTTGTTTGTATGATTTCCCTCATTCCCAGCTATTGAGCTTCATCTCCATTAGCGTTCAACTTGCAAATTTATTTGAGCTCAAGATGTTACCTACCACAATTGAGTTGTCAGCACAGTCAATGCTGGGCATTGAAAAAGAGGAACAAGTGGCAATGGAATATTGGCATATCAGGACTTGACAGAGGGTCTGGGAAGGAAAAGAGATAGAAGAAAGGGTAACATCGCATTTTCATATTAATTTTAATATATTAGTAGCTATATGCCGGATAAAAAGTAAATATCATTTTAAAAAATGACTATCACACATAATTTTTACAAATATTAATTCCGGACTACTTAATAGGCCCAAAGCCCAATTAGCCCAAGTATAGTGCTCAATCTTTACTATTAATAAAATAGTCAAATTTCTAATTTTCCTCTTAAACATCTTTTAAAATAGTAAAATTATATAAGACAAAAAAGTGGGAACAAAACAACATCTTCTCTAATACTCCCATTAAATACTAACTAATCTAATATATATAAAATTTTTGCCGAAGTTTAATATCTGAAATTACAAGTAGGTCCGCCTAAATTTGAAGCCAACGGTGGTACCCCATATGATAAGAAACTTTATCTCTGGAACTTTTGTTAGAGCCACTCTTTCCCTTTGCATGCCTAGGATTGCTACCTAAAACTGCCTCCAATTTTCCCCCACCAAAATATTTTGGAACAAAAAGAAGAAAGAAGAAAAAAAGATAAGGACAAAACATCAGAAGAAGAAAAACAAGTTATACTTTGGCTAGCATGTTGAAGCATAGAATAACATGCAATTCACAATGCTTACCTTATCTTTTGCCTTACTTTCCCAGCCATAATAACATCTCAATTAGAACTGCTGTCAGCTTTCACTCTTCCTCCTCCACCACTGCTCGGAAATCGAGAGCCGGACGGTCACTGGCAGCCGTATTTAGCCGTGCAAGGAGGAGAGTTATATACGATAATGATGACGACGAAGAAGAAGATGATCAAGAATATGGACACAATACAGAAATAGCAATGTTAGAGTTTTATAGTCAATCGGTGAGAAATGAAGCTCTTCTTGTGAAAGCTGTTGTGAATGAGGAAGAAGTGGAAGTTTTAATATTCAAAGGTTTTTCTTCTTGTTTGAGTTATGGGACTTGTCCAGATCCATCAAAGAGTGTGCTTCCAGCTAGGGCAGTGATAAAATGTATAGACAGAATAAAAGGACCTTTTGATCCTTCTAACATTGAATATTTCGAGAAAGGATTAACTGTGGAGGACATCAAGGCTAGGGTTCTCCCAATGGCAAATTAGGTATATTCGTAAAAGCGGATCCAGAATTTGAATTTTACGGGTTCAATATTTAAAGTTTTTAGCATTGAATTCATTATATTATAAAGTTATGGGGTTTATATCTGAGTTAGTACTATTTATTATAATTTTCGTAGTTTTTTACCTATACTATTATGTTCCGCGTCGAAAATACTGTACTGAATTCAGATGAACCCCGGACCATTACATTAGCTTGCCCCCTGCTGCCTAGGGAAAGTTCAAATTCAATTTGCAGTTTTTGTATGCCTAAATTTGACACTAACATATACTATATATTTTAAAGTAACCTTATTGCATTTTGGATATATGTAGTTTATCATACCTTTAGAGATTTTATCTTTGTTCTATTAGGATTTTCTTTTTCTTGTTGCACTCTGTTGTCTACACTTATGAAAAGTTGCATCATGTTGCCATCTAGGCACTTTCTCATCTAAAAATTCTAAGAAATATGCTAGTTGATTGTATATAAACTAGCTGTTATAAGATAAAATTAACATTTATGTACTCGAGGCATTTTTCAAAGCTGTAAAACTCTGTGAAATCCTACAAAGTATACTAAAATTGAATAATGTCAGGGATGCAGTAGATGTGCCCTATATCCATTCTCATATTTGATGATTTGTACATATTTTTGTGAACGTTATTTGATATAAAAATATATGGCATTTGATATTCTTTTATCATAGTTATTATTAATTGCTTGATTAATTGAATAAGGTCCTTGATTAAATTTCGAGACTTCTCATCGTGATAGAGATCATGATAATATGAGTAAAGTCTCTTACAATTTAATCTAAATTTTATTCTTGATAGTAGGATTATTAATTTGGACATTAGTAATCCGGTTAGATCAATATTTATGTGATCGTCTTTATGGGATAAATATTAGTTGATTTCATTTACTAAATTGCATAGATAGATGATGCATATAGAGATATGATCATTGAACCAACTCATTGGATAATTCCTAATGGTTAGAATTACCATAAACTGTCAATAGGATATTCTCTTGAAGAATGTGATGTAAGAGTTTCCTTTGACATGAGATCGTCATAGTAATTGACAAGTTATTTATTGTGCTTTGATACTAGACACCTATGGCCCTAGGGCGATAGTTGAAAGGATATTGGGTATGATTAAATGCTTGTAGAATTAGTGATTGATCAAGATGGAATCTGTCAACTCTTGGTAATGAGTTTAAGCTCCATGTTATCATGAATTATAAACGACCAAACTAAGACCTTGTCCAAGGCAATTGAATGAAAGAAGAAACGAGTTTCTTAGGTCATTCAATGGTCGATTATATTTAACATGAACACATAGTTGGTTGTCATGACCCAAAATCCAACTAGCTGTGATGACACCTAACCTCACCCGCTAGGTAAGCCAAATAATAACAATTCGATTCAATTAATATTTAACTGACTCTAATACACTCCCCAAGGTCTGATAGTACAAATCATGAGCTTCTAAGATTAGAATTTTAAAAAATTGGTGTGAAATAAAAATACGTTATCTGTCTAAAATATACATGAACAGATTAAAAAAATTCTCAAGCTACCATGAACAAGAGGCAGCAATGACTGAAATACAGGTACATCTTCAGATCCAGCTCCCGCCGTACGCGGCAACATCAGCATCAGAAATCTGCACGCAAGGTGCATAATTATAGTATGAGTACATCCGACCCCATCTACTCAATAAATAATAAACCTAACCTTAGGTTGAAAGTAGTGACGAGCTTATACCAAGGTCAGAGTCCACACCAATAACCAATAACATCTCATAACAATAAAATTTAAAGCAGCACAAGTAATAATTCAATAATAACATGCTCAGCTCGTATACAGTTATGGAAAATAAAGATTTTCTTTTCAAGTTTAATAGTAAAACTCAAATCTTTTACCGAAAGTCACTAAAATATAAGTAAGTCTGAGATCTGTGATTTTTCTCAAAAGCTTTAACGACAGATAAGAAATTTCATTATCAGATGACATGAGAAAAAATACTTCTCTATGCTCACATATCAAGTATGCATGTCTAATGCAATGCATCACAGTGATAAACTCGTGTACTCACACTCTCAGAGTACTCAATCACTCAGTACTGTATATGGCCAATCTAGCCCAGGGAAGATCCATCCCATATATATACATAATAGGTGACATTCAGTCACTCAGTACTGTACAGGGCCAATCCAGCCCAGGAAACTTCATCCCAAATATAATGATTCAGGCAAGATCCATGTCCAGGGAAAGTATAAATAAATAAGTCAACTCTATGCCTTGGGAAGTCCATCCCAAATNATATATATATATATAGGGCTTGCTGCGGCATGTAGCTCGATCCCATAAATATCCTCACACGTGGATGAATATGACTGAGTATGAAATTAAGATTTAAACAAATAATTTAATAGCAATACGACCTCTGTGAATCTCAATAATACAGGCATTAAGCCTCAGCATGATTCTCAGCTCAATTTCCTTAACACATGAAAGTGCATGGATAATGCCAAGATTATTTGACTATAAAATTCCACGAAATCAATTACGTCACAATTTATAAGATGCATGCCCATACGCCCGTCACCTAGCATGTACCTCACCTCTAAATAAATAACATAACATGTATATTCGGGGTTTATACCCTCAACTCCAAGTTTAGAAATGTTACTTACCTCGAACAAGCTGAATCCAATACCGAGAGAGCTAAACAATGCTCCAAAAATTTTAGTCCGCGCGTATCAACCTCCAAACACCTTCCTATCTCCTCAATTCAAGCCAAACGATTCGTATCTATTCAAACCACGTACAAATTAATCACAATATACTCCAATGCTTACAATTTATAATTTATAAAAATTCTCAACTCCACTTGAAAAGTCGACAGTGGGGTCCACGTCTTAGAATCTGATAAAACTCACAAAATTCGACAACCCATTCAACTACGAGTGCAACCATACTAATTTTACTCAAATCCGACTTTGAATCGGTATTTAAAACACGAAAATTCATTTTGTGGAATTATAGAAATTTTCTCCGATTTCTCTTGAAGATTCAATAATCATATGCCAAAAATGAAGATTAATTCATGAAATATAATCACAAGTGAGCCAAGAAAACTTACCCCAAGTTGTGTGGTAAAATTCCTCTCAAAAGTCGCACAAATCAAGCTTCGAAATTCGAAAAATGAGTGAAAATATCGAACTCTCGAACTTAAAGGGTTCTGCCTAGCATTTCCGCATTTGCGGTCGCATTGTCGCACCTGCGACCTCCGCTTCTGCGGACGAATTGTGCTTCTGTGCACGCCCCTGAAGGCTAGCCCTTTCGCTTCTCCGATCAAAACCACCGTATCTGCGGTCACGCTTCTGCGCGTTTTTCCGCATCTGCGTCTCCTGCCCAAAAGTGCCCAGTCCGCTTCTGCGATGAGCTGCTCTCTTCTGCGGAGTCGCTTCTGCGACCAAGCTTCCGCAGAAGTTGTTGCACCAGCAACTCAAAAACTCCAGCAGCTTTAACAAGGCTTCAATCGATCCGAACCCTGTCCGAAATTCATCCGAGCCACTCGGGACCTTGTCCGAATATACCAGTAAGTCCCGTAACATAACACGGACTTACTCGAGGTCTCAAATTACATCAAACAACGTCGAAATTACAAATTGCACCTCGAATCAAACTTATATATTTTCCAAATTTTCAAATTCTATATCTTGTGCAGAAACGTATCAAATCCATCCGGAATGACTTTGAATTTTGCACACGAGTCATAAATGATATAATGGAGCTATTAAAATTTTTAGAACTGGATTCCAACCCCGATATCAATAAAGTCAACTCCCGGTCAAACTTTCAAATCTTAAATTTCCAACTTTCGCCATTTCAAGCCAAAATCGACTACGGACTTCCAAATAAATATTCGGTCATACTCTTAAGTCCAAAATCACCATACGGAGATATTGAAACCATGAAAACTTTATTACGGAGTTGTTTGCACAAAAGTCAAACTCCGGTCAACCCTTTTCATTTAAGCTTCCAACATAAAATTTATTCTTTCAAACTAATCCCGTAATACCTGAAACATCAAAACCGATGATTCACACAAGTCATAATACATCATATGAAGCTATTCAAGACTTCAAATAGTTGAAAGGAGCGTAAATATTCAAAATGACAAGTCGGGTCGTTATATTCTCCCCCACTTAAACATACTTTCGTCTTCGAACGTGCCAAGATTTGTTCCTAAGCCTTCAAATCACTGTGCCACCTTACCATGAACCTACCCGGGGGTGATACCACATCACCCTTTTCCATATAGGCCTAACAACACAATATAATTGAAAATCATTAATTTATCTTTAGCCCATAAACCTTGGACCCCAATTTCTAACATCTGAAATTTTTTTCAAGACCTGAATCTCATATCTACACATTGTATAAGTCTGAACAATCTATATTAAGCCCTAACTATAACCCCAGATGTAATCACATAACATACTATACAACTCGCATACTCGCAGCACCATTTTCGATCACAGTAACTACTCAAAACCAACCCGGTACTAGTATTAAATCCCATATCAAACAAAACCTCATTCCCAAAACAATCGTACACTGCCGATAATGAAAGAAACACGCGGAATCTCATAATCACTTATCAGATCAACAAGTCATGGAGCTCTCTCACCCCAACCAGAACCATAATCACTTTCTAAGCCGATTTTTGATATTATCCTCCCAAATATACCGTAATCAAACCAAATAGTACCCATTCTAGGTCCAATGACCTTATATTATCAAACATAACTATTCCACAGATATGCCATACCAATATAACTCAAGCCACAAACTATGCAATCCGTGCACCCAAAAATAGGAAATGTCTCAAAGAAGAGAATCGTTTCGCAAGTTCAACAAGCACCACTACAACCACAATGATATGAGCTCATCATACATAGTAGCACCAAGACACATGAATTTAATAACGGTAACCGGCTCTTAGAGAGATCATATTAACATCAATCACACGGACAACTCACGTGCTATAGTATCAATATCTGGATCCGCACGGACAACTCACTTGTCAAAAATATAAATGTTTGGATCCGCACGGATAACCCACTAGTGGGATTCTACTGGGTTGTTGTTATTTCCTGGCATAGTCACATGCCTCCAATTCAAGCATATCATACAGGAGCAATCAAACAAGTACACATGTATATGATAATTGAAATAAGACTCTTATGCTCCTGGACTAGTATAAATAACACGCCATAGAGTAGGTATGTGCAAAGTGTGCTATCACAATT